GTGTGCGTGTGCGTGTGCGTGTGTGTGTCTGTGTGTGGGTGTGTGTGTGTGTGTGTGTAGGTGTGGGTGGGGGTGTGGGTGTGCGTGTGCGTGTGCGTGTGCGTGTGCGTGTGCGTGTGCGTGTGCGTGTGTGTGGGTGTGTGGGTGTGTGGGTGTGTGTGTGTGTGTGTGTGTGTGTGTGTGTGGGTGTGGGTGGTGAGCTGCTTGCTGTCTTGTAATGCGGTGCGTGCTGCTGCTGGTGTTGGCTCTACCTCCTTGTTTCTGTGGAGTGGTTCTACCGTTTTGGAGTTATGCTAGCTAATTTCTCCTCTTACCAACCGCGCAGAATAGTGAGAAGACTCTGAAGACCTTCCATGAGCTCAATCTGCTCTGCTGTGCAAGTGGTTCCTGAGGGCCACTTCACGTCCCCAAAACCTGAGCCCGAAGTCCTGGGAGTTTTTGGCAGGTAAACATGACGTTGAACCGCTAGCTGATGGCGCAAACCAGCTCTGAGGCCGGACCTGTTATAAGTGCCTTAATGGTTTCAGTGGTTTAGGGTTTAAAGTTTAAGGGTTTAGGGTACGGTTTAGGGTTTGGGGTTGTGAATATTAATGCCAATATAATAATTTCAACTATAGTTAGCCTACTTGTACAAGTATTATAACCCTACTACTAAGTCCCCTGATCCTTTAGGCACTCGCCCAAACCCCACTGGGACGTCTCAATTTCCCTCTGGTGTGGCTCTATGAAAGACCACGCGGCACGATAGTCACCCTGGGAAGGATCCGATTTGGAAGGTATACCCGATTGCCCCTGCGCTCGAGTCCGCTTTGCCTAAGAGAGGCAGCACAATGCCCTTGTCTAGTCATCTCAGGATTTGAGCTTCTGTTGTTTGGGTTACCTTCTGAAGGTCCCTTGGGTGAAGGATCCTGGCCAGGAGGAGGCCAACCTGAAAAACGAATTGCCAGAGAGGGCTCGGGGCGTGTACTGTTTAACATTCCGGGGGTCTTGTGTAAAGCCTTTGGACGTTAGACTCGCCAAACTCCTCAAGGGCCTGGAGTCCTGTTTGCGAATTCTGTTTTCCAGGTAATACTAGGACCCCCGAAGAATCTTAAAAGCATGTGGGAGTATGTCATTAGGCGTTTGATGAGCGTAGATTGGCTGCTGGTGAATGTTGGTGAGTGCATATTTTGTGTGGTACTAGCTGGATACGAGGAAACGACATAGTTCATGAGCCTGAACTCGAGGCCGTTCTGAGCCTTTGTGCAGATCATCTTGCCGTCCTCGATGGTGTCAACCTCTCCGCGGCCCTTTCACAGCTGGCCTAGCAGAGCCTTGGTTTCAGAGCCGGTTTCCGGTGATCCATGAATTTCGGAACTTACCAATCACGGGTTTAACAAGAATAGTTGTGAAGATCCTAGAAACGAGAAGCCGCAGGTTCACTAAGGTAGACCGGTCAGCTGAGCCGTTCAATCCTTTTGGCCCCCACAGGCAACACTCTGAAGAACCCCTTACATGTTCACCCATAACTAGCCTTCGAATCAAACACAGTCTCTAAGACTCGACAAGACCTTGTAAAGCTGGATGGAAACCTTCAGCCCGTATAAGTGGGGGGTGTCCGTGGTGGTTTGAGCGCAGACGGCCTGCTTGCTCAAATCTCGTCGCCCCCCAAACTCCGAAACTCTACAGCATAAATCACCCCAAATCCTCTAGCCTAAGACTGCTTCCAGGCACCTTAAACCCCAAATCAGACTCTCAACCCTTCATCCTGAGGAGGATGCCAATTTCGGATGAGCCTCTCGTGCGTGACCCGCGGTTCCGGAAGCTCTTTGCCTGCAGGATATCTTCCAAGGCCTTAGGTTTTTAGGGCTCGGGGGCTTAAGTTCGTCCCAATGTGTACAGCGGGGTAGTTTAACGATGATAATCGCCTCAAACACGGAGCGGTCGGACTTAAAGTCTGCGGCTTTGGAGATTCAGCATGCTTGGCATCGTGGGGTGGTTTCGGGTCCACCTTTGGATTGCCTCAGCACTGCCTCAACAAGACTATGCAAGCACTTTGAACCCTCGAATTCCGAGGGAGCTCAGTACAGGCCCATGAAGGTAATTTCCGACGGTTGACTCTCTTGTTTCCAGCTGGTTGGAGGGCCGCGGCCTTGAAATAATCCGGTGCCCAGTAGTACCCGATTTCCTGCTCCTTACGGCAGCTGCCTGGGCTCACGGCCACTATGCGTCATCTCTGCAGGCATGCGCGAGGTCGTGTGGGCGAGAAGGAAGGCGACTTGGCCTGGCAGAGTTCTGCTGGTAGTGGCAGCCTTGGCCGGCAGCAAGAGCTTAAGCACAGCAGGTCCAACAGATGAGGCATGTTGCAGCATCGCCGCAAGCTGCTCTGACACATTGAAGGAACTTCAGAACAGAAACAAGGAGCTTCGAGCCCGGCTGAGCCAACGATGCTGGCCCGGTTTGAAATGCTTCTTCTCGGATGGGCAAATCTACAGTGTGCCTTTGCGGGCCGTGAGGCGGAATGATTCACATAGGCCAGCAAAAGCCGGCCTGGCTTACTTGGCCGGCTTCTTCGATGGAGATGGCTCCGTTTACTCCCAGCCGTGCTTGTCTGGAACCAGCATGAAGGTAGCCCAGTCCTTTGACCAAGCGGAAGTCCTCATGGTTTTCCGGGAGACGTTCGGTGGGAGCATCGGGTCTGAGACCCGCGGCATGGGTCTGCGGAAGCCAAAGCTTCAGGCAGGCATACGGCCAGTCGGCGCGAAGGGCAGCTGAGCTCCTTGCACCGCACAGCATCACCAAGAAGAAGCAGCTGTTGTTGGCGGCCCAATGGCCCGATACAAAAGGCTGCAGAGAGAAGTGCAATGCCGAGCTGCAAGCGCTTAAGAAATACGATTCAGCGGTTGCTGGACCTTGCAGCTGGAGCTATTTTGCCGGCTTCTTCGATGCAGAGGGCTGTATTACACAGAAGCTTGGAGGAGCCTCACTGGTTCTGGACATTGTGCAAAAGCATCCACGGGTCTTGAAGTGCCTTCGTGATTTTCTAGCCCAAAGCTTAGGCATTAATGCGAAAGTTCGGAAGAAAAGAGCCTCTTTGCATTCACTTGGGGTTTGCGGCTTAGTGAATTGCAAGCAGATACTGCAACACCTGCTGGATGCTGGACTCCTTGGCAAAGCGGTGTCCGCCCAGCTGGCTTCAGACCTGACTCAGGCAAACACGTTGCAAGTCAACACTGGGCTTAGCCGCCTGACTGGAAACCAAAAGTTTGGAAAGAGGCTGGATGCAGCCGGCCGACAAAGAGCGAGGAAGATCATCGGCGCACGGAACCAAGCTTATAGATTGAAACGACAAGGCCTGCATGCAGAAGCTGAGGCGAAGCTAGTCGAGGTTGCACTGCTCAAGCAAAAGCACGAGCTGCTCAAAGCTAGCCATGAGAACCAGCAGTTGCTCGAGTACATGTGCAAACTCCAGAGCTTGCACGATAATTCGTGGGAAGGGCCACTTGCCTGCGGAATGTGACGAAACCCCAGGGAGCAGTGCTTCGATGTCCGGCTCAAAGATGCGCAGTCTGTTGCTTGGGTTGGGCTTGGTTTCAGTGTTTCGGGATCTGGGGATGAAGCCTGTCGATTTGGGGCTCTCGACTTGAAGCTCGGCAGGTAGGAGCAGGCAGTTTGCCTACGAAGCAAGCCTATCCCACGTTGTGTAGTTGTCTGCATACTGGGTCAGGCTCACTTTACATAATGTGATTGCCTGCAGCTGGCATTCGGGCAGGGGGCCTTGAGGATTTGAGTGGTCAATGTTTACGTGTCGGGTTTGGCTTCGGGCTAATGGACGGAGGATGTTCAAATCACTGAACAGGCCTTGAACCTCATAGGAAACCTCAAACTTCCCAACCTCTCCAGACTTGCATTTTCATACTTGAGGTCTAGATCTTTGTTACTCAAGAAGCCGAATCCCAGGCTCCTTGCTGCAGCACAAGCTTCACTGACCGGGCTTGAGGCACTGGAGCGGTGTACAGCGATTAGGGATTCTGGATTCAAGGATTTAGGGCTTTAGGGGTGTGGAGTTCGCAGGGTGCAGCTGTTGTGAATCTGAGAGCTTCTTGTTTCAAGTCTTAAGTTTTCTTAGCTTACTGGCTCTTCCTCATGGATTCAACACCTGCCTAAGATAGACCTTGGCTTTCGGGGCATTCGTCTAGCTTGGTGTTAGGGATTCCTGTTGCCAGCGTAGGACTCAACGCGTGAATCAAGGGTGTAGGACCTATTCAGTTTAGCTTCGGGCTTGGTTCAAACAGGCGGTTTGGATCTGTACATGTGGTTGTGACAAACTTCTGACGAAGGTAGTGTCTTACTTCGCAGGTTTGGGGCAGCAGGCGAAGACTCCTCGGCACATGTGAGGAGGCTTCAAGGACTCGAGTACGAGTGTTTTGCAGCTCCAGCACCAAGACTCGAATTCCTAGCCCTCCAGGAACTTAAGCTCGAAGCACAGGGCTCAGAGACCCCCAGCGACCCAAAATACTACCCGACATAGCCCTCAACACCAAATGCCCTCAACTCCGCAGGCCGTATACCCTTACAAAGAGACAATCCCAAAACCTACACCTTAAACCTTGAATTCTTAAACCCTGTCTTCCACCTCGACAAGCTCCCTTGAACCTAATTTAACCCCTGAAACCCTAAGCCCCTGCAGGACCCCTTATCGAACCCGTATAACTTCCCAAAGGGTCCAAAGTACTAATATGGTAGAATGTGCGGTTTCTCTAATATGAATTACTATTATGGCTTGGGCAGTATCCCCCATACAGGTACTTAGGACCCTTTGGGCTGATAACCCATGAAACCCCCAAGCCAGATGCCAGGCCAAGAACCTTGCGCGCACCGCCCGGTCCCGCGGCAAGCTCCGCGCTGCCGGTGCGGCCTTCCTGGCGGCTTTGGGTGGGGAGGTGCAGCAAGGGGCTTCTTATGGGCCGAAGGGTTTTGTGGGATTTGGGGATGTATCTATGACACCAGAGAGAGTCTGGGCTGGTATAGGCCAATTAAGGGTTTTATGGGATTTGGGGATGTATCGAAAGTGTTATACGGGGTTCCACCACAGTGCCCGAGCACCTATGCGGCGCCGACAAACCCCATGGACCCCGAACCCTGATTTATGTTTTGGGTGGGTATCAGTTCAGAGTGGTGCTGAGCTGCCCAGAAGTTCCAAAGAGGCATGTGATGGATAAACTCGATGTAGATGGCGCTGAAACCCTGCCTAAACCCTAAACCCTAAACTATGTGAGTGTGGCTTGGGGGCAGCATGTACCTGATTGACACGGCCCCTTGGTGCAGGCAGTAACCGTGATTCGTGGATGTTGGTGAAGATTGGGCTTGGAACGTGTTTGAGGTACCTGAAATCAAGCCCTTCCAACAGCTCACTACACGAAGGCAGCGAATCAGTCGCTATCCATGTTGAGATGTTCATGTTCGCAGCGTAGCAAGCCTCTGGAAAACTATCGGTAACTATCGACGATGACTGTCGCACTGAATACCAGCAGTTTGCAATGTCAAGCGGTGCGTGTTCGATTTCGCAATTGTTTTGCACAGGTGATGTCGCAGCATGAGCATTCTCAACCGCATCAACTGGCATCCCGGCTTAATCTTGCGTGTTCTCAACATATAGAGGTTGCCGTTTTGGAGTTCCCAACATACAGAGGTTGCCCAGGTAGACAACACCCTAGCTTGCTTGATGTAGGGACGCAAGGCCCAAAATCGGAACTGCAAAGGGCTAAGACTCGACAATCTCCGAAGATACGGCGGTGGGTCTTCCTGAGGCAGCATGACTCTTAAATCCTACGCAAGAGATTGGTTTCTGAATTTCTTCAAGCTCTGAGATGATGCCACAAGCTGAACTGCTAGGCAATGTTGGCATGGGCCTTCGCCACTTCGGCGCGGCGGGACGAGGCTCCAAGTTTGACTTCACTCGGCGCCCCAAGCCCCGAAATGCTTCAAGTCGAGTGCAAACCTTGCATCCGAACGCCAGAAAGCTCAATCAGAAGCTGCGCACACCCAAAACAATCACTAGAAGTAGAGACAGAATTGCAATCGCACTGTTAACCACAAACCCCAACCTCTGAAGCCGAAACCCTAATGACAACCCCGGACAACCCCCTATGCTACCTCGTAAACCCTTTACAGTAGCCCTGATAGAAAGCAGATCCTGAGCCCATCGCTTGTGCAGCCACTGGCACCCTAGGGCTCCAGTTACCTAAATAGTAGGTTACTGGCGTACATAAGATAGGGTTAGTAACCTACTATTTAGGTAACTGGAGCCCTTGGGGGAAGGCAGCTCTTTAAGTCGTATGGCGGAGCTCCTGCAGCGTGTGCCGCAGCGGCCGCTCCGTGCCACGGCTGAGTGGTTGCACTTTTGGAGCTCTGTGGAGTGGCTCATGAAGTGAATTAAGGGTTTAGGGCAAGTTTAGGGGTCCTTCACCGGAAAGCTGCAAACTAGCAGCGAAGAACGGATGAACATTAAGCCTACATCAATTCAGGATTTGACTTGTGACTTGGCTTTGGGCGGCGGAGACGGTTTGGGCTGGCGAGTCATGGGATGAGATGAAGTCATGATCATCAGACCCCGAAGCCCTCGACCCACCAGCCCACAGCACCATTGATTTCATGGTCTTCCTGGAGGGACATGGTTGCGGGATATGGTCCATCCATTTTCCATCGTATTCCGAAGCAGAACGACCAGACGAAGACAGCTGTAAGTTCTCCCGCTTGTCTGAATCCTCGCCAAGGAGCTCAACACGCGGAGTCCCTCAAACCTGGCGCGGTGGCTCAGGAAGCTGCAGCCTTCCGAGGCAACGGGTCAAAGGGGTTCCGGAGCTAAGGTAGGGGCCTTAATAGTTAGAATAGGGTTTTGGGGCCCTTTGTACTATAGTTATAATGAGGAACCCCCAAAACAGTATAGGTAATTATTTAGGCTGCTTCAGTACCAGCTTTCAGAGGGGGTTTTGTGTTTTGTTATGGCAGCCATTTCCATGCACACAGGGCGGACAGCCAGCTGGGACCCGACCTGCCTAGAAACGCTAAAGCCACGAACACCCCGAGCCCAAACCCCGCCACGAACCCTTTAAAGCACCCAATAGAAATCCTTACGCAGCCCTGTAGAGACCCTTCTAGACCTAATAGCGTCCTCAGGGAGCAGCATTGCAGCTCATCGCTGCCGACAGTCTGGAGAAAGAAGCTGAGCCTAGTGCCCAGGACTGCGGCGATCGGGGAGCGGGTAGCTTGGGTTGTGGGTTTTAAGGTTCATGGAGTTGGGGTGTTTGGGATTTACGGTAGGGTGTGTGTGTGTGTGTGTGTGTGTGTGTGCGAGAGTGGAACATATAAATCATTCCATAACCTAGATGAGTGCATGGACAACAATAAACGAACATATCCAATGTCTAGATATGTCTCTACACACTTATTTTCGTCTAGCTGGGCTGTGTTCACATGGGGCCTTCTGTTTCATGCTTCTCACGGAAAGGGAATGTTGCTCACACCCAAATCCCGTCTCGGCGTCTCGGCATCACCCTGAAGCTCTGATACGATGTTGAGGGTAATTCCAGGATTTCCGTACAAGCCGCGAGAAGCTTGATGTGAAGCTCCCATTGAAATATCGTAAGTTGAAGTGACCCCAGATTGCAAACTTGGCCGCCCCATAGCTTGTCCAAACCTGATCGCCACTGCAAGGACGCCTCCAACGTGGTGCAGGTGCTTGTTCACAGCCTCTGCCAACAGATGCAGTCATG